CCCCCCTGCTCCGTCTCGAAAGGGACGCGTGGTCAATGGTCAAATGACTACGGCAAGCAACAAATGAGTACGCCCCCCTGTCCGCGTTAATGTGTTCCAGAAACGGTTGAGAAACAGACCATCGGCGCTCGGTGCTTACGGTATACTACTAAGTAGAGAAACAGGTCCGCTTGCAGTCAAACCATCCAGACCGATGGCTTCTTGTTCCTTTGCGACCTACGTTTTGTTCCGTGCACGCTTGACATGCGGTCTTACACACTCTTTCGGTAGCCAACATTCGCTTTTCCTCAAGACATATTAGAGAAGCTCAATGAATGTGCACCCTAAGTTGCGCCATTTTGTCAAAGCTGTATTCTGTTCTCCGAGATGACCGTTGTCTGTACCCTCTGTTGACCCCGCTTTTTTCACACCAATAGCCCATTGTGGGTTGGACACCGTGTTCCACTACACCACCTGGGGTGTCTGGATCTCCGTAGCCCTGGTTCGCGTGTACCGGAGTTGGAAGATCCTCATCAAGCACTCGGTGGACATGTGGCCGCCGTGGGCCCAGGTGCTGCTGCTGACAGTCCCGTGGTGGTGAGGATTAGAAGAAGAAAACAAAGGGTGCATGACGAGTTGTTTCTTGCACACCTATGTAGGACCCTTCAAAGGGTCTCGGGGGGTGGTACTCTGAATCCAATCGAAAATGAAGATAAAAAAATGTGTGCGTTTTTTTTTTCCATTTTTGCCCCAAGAGCACTACACGGATTTTTTTACAATGTCTCGACTTATCAGTCTAATGAGTATGATAGTTGTCCAGTTGATTTTTCTTGTTTCACCCTTGCCTAAACACGGCGTAAGATTCGCGTGCACACATCGTTTATGCGTACGCTAGTATGGTGCAAACTGGTTCAAGCGACGGATGTTCCTTCTTTTTCGTTACTGTTGCTGCTTGTTTGAGCGTAGAGTCACCAAAGCCGTGGTGTCCTTTGAAGAACGTGAGAGCACTGCGATACGGTGTGTAGGAACATCGGCTTGTTGGTATTAATCGAGACAGACCAGTTGGTACATAGGCGGCGCCCTACCTCGCTGGTCGTGTTGCCGGTGGTGGCGATCGAAGTGGTGTCCCCTAAGACATACATATGCCCATCAAAACGTGGAACACTCGCATACGGGTCTGTGTTTGTTGTGAACATGGTTGAGAATCGGTAATCGAGTCCTGACTCTTGTCAGAGCTAGTGAGCAATCGCTTCCCCGTGCGACTTGTATATTCCACGCATCTTCTTCCTGCTGTTGTGGTGATGTCTTCCATCCGGTGAGACTGCTAGCGCATGTACCCCCTGCCGATTACGAAACAGCGTATCCCCTTGCCCGCCTCTGCCCCAAAAAAAACATGCAGCATTCCCGCCGTGGCGTACACCATCGACGACGAACTGTCCCAGTTCAACGAAGTACGGAACTGGTGTGAGATCTACCGGCCGATCGACACCTTCACCTATATCTTGGGGTCCTCCCTGATCGCTGGCGCCTTCGTGCTGGTGTACCAGATGCGAAAAGTCCGCAAGCAGATGAACGAGTACCACCTACAGGTAGGAGGTGTTGGATTGCCTACGCCAGGAAGTAAAGTAATAACGCAACAAGACTAGGGAAGAAGCATGCAGAACCTCACCATAAGCCCGACCCCAACGTAGCCGGTTCAATAATTCACCCGTATGTTTGCTTCCTTAGAAAAGCCTGCGAAGACTACTGGATGTGTTTCCTGTCTCCTGTGATGTGCACCGCCAAGAGATCGCTCCGGAGCGGGCTCGTGTTCAAACCCTAAGTATGCACGATAGGGGTGGTGATGCAAGATGGAAGTGAAAGCAGACAGCAGGACCGGCTTCCAGTTTTTGACGTTTACCAAGCTCAACAGCTCACCTCACACAGCTGACGACGTGCTTTGACTCGAAAATGTTTCCTTCGGCTCGTGTGTTGCTGTTGTTGTTTTTTCAGGTTTTCCAGCTGACATTCCTGCTCCTGACCGGCAGTGTGGTCTTCCCGCTCCAGCACCTCTTGCTCGACAAGAATCACGAGATCCGGAGGATCTGGGTCCTTTACCACAACTTCTTGGTGAGTGATCAGCATTTGCTGCTGTTGTTTTTGTTCTTGTGTTAACGGTAGTTGCTGTTGTTGCTGTCGTGTTAAGCACTTGCTGTCGTGCCTTTGAGCGCTTACGTCCAAGTGGATCAATCTCCGCAGTATCGTCCCTCCCCACTACTCTGCTGCAAGTACATATTGGGCAGAGAACCGCTCATCCTTTGACACTTGGCTTTGGCAGCTGTCCCTGCTTTTACTTCATAATCGCTGGAGGCCCGCCATGCATCATCTCCTTCAACCCCTTGGAGACAACGATCCGACTTTGTATGGATCAAGCCAAACCCGAGGACCTATTGTCCCCTGTGACCGGGCGTTACGCCCCTTCTCGCGCACGCCTGTTGCGGTGGAACACAACCTTGGCCTGGGTTCGTTGTTCTTCTCCTGCCCCCCGGTGGCAAGCGAAAGGCCCATCCCCTTTGTACAACCGCTGTTGCAAGTGGAGTGGAAAACCTCGAACAAGAACCATTGGTCATCTTCTGGCCCCCCGGTGGCAAGAGAAAGCCCCATCCCCTTTGTACAACCGCCTGTTGCAAATGGAATGGAAAACCTCGAACAGAATCATTGGTCCTCTTCTGGCCCCCCGATGGCAGGAGAGATCCCCTTTGTACACATGCATGTTGCAACGGAATGGAAAACCTCGAGCGGGAATCGTTGATCCTCTCTTACAACCCGATGGCAGAGAAGCGCCCATCCCCTTCGTACACGCGCCTGTTGCAATCGAATGGAAAACCTCGAGCAGGACTCGTTGGTCCTCTTCTGGCCCCCTGTAGCCGAGCCCATGTACCGGTACCTCACGGGGGACGTCTACTACCTCAACAGCTACACCCAAGGCTTCTCCACGCTCCCGACACCGGCTCAGGTGGGTGGGCAGCGCGAGTGTGGTTTCTACCTTTTTCATCTACGTTCGCTACCGTAAGTTGCGAAGATTCCACAATCCGCCTGGACCGAACTTGAGAGATGGACTACTATTGTCCTACTCCAAGACGAAGAGGGTGCCAAAACGAAGCGATGCGTGGTCGGAAAGCTCTAGACGAGCCGGTGCCAACGCCGACGTTTTCGGCAGAACACTCATTGTATCTTCTGCAGAGTTAGTCGAGCTTTGAAGAGTGGTCCAAGGGAGAGTAGTGTCTTACGCGACCTGCGGTGTTCGGCTGGCCGATCAACGGGCATCGTTGTTTTGGTGGGCGTGTGTGTGCGGCTTTCGGTAGCGCCGAAGAGCCCACCCTCTTGTAGCCCCTACCGTACAATAGTGCAGCAGTCGTGGTCCTTGTTTTGCAACCAATGAAATTGTCAAAGATGTTGTAACCGCTATTGAGGGCATCGCCACTAAACCGGATTGGCAGTCACGTGGTAGTTGACTACCGAGGTGCAGCTGCTGTGCCACGAGATTTTGGAACCGCTGTTCAGGGCATCCCGCTAAACAGAGAAGCGCAAAACCGAGACCACGACTATGGTAGATAGTCTGCCTGTGTCGGCGCGACAAGGACAAAGAGGGTTCGGAAGTTTCGAATTGTGCTTGGGTGAGCATCTTTGTTTGAAGATCTGGATCTATCTATCTTTGATTCAACGACCGCCCTTGGTTTTGGCGTCGCGAGCGCCGTCTGCGCTGCTTGCTCGCCTGACCAATTGGCGGCTGTTATCGGTCTCATTGGAAGGCGGGGGAGGGGGGGGGGGGGGGGGGGG